ATTGCTTTGGAATTTTATGGTAGTCTATGTGCAGCATGAGATAGCTACTGTAATTTTGTAGATTTTTATGAATAGTTTTACTATATATTGCTTAAATCACCTAATTAACTAAATAAATTGGAAAAGGATATTAAATAATTTATTTAGAAGCTAGCACTATACTTTCTGATGTTTCTTAGATATGAAAAACAAGTTGGTAAACTTGGTTTGGTCAAATTAGGCTTTTGCACCATCATTAAATAATTAAGTTAGCAACCCGAGTCATTACGGACAGATTCTAGGTCTACTGGAAATTGATTTGGTTAACTTCAGAATCATGCCTTGATGCTTACAAATGAATTGTAGAGAATTTCATAAGCTTTCCAGAATGTCCTCTTGCAAAAGTCATTTGGAGTTATAGAACTCTGGTTATGATAGAATTAAGTTACTACTTGTTGCATATGAAGCTTTAAGCATTATTTTAAGCATGTACATGCTATTCTAAGTTCATGGTACTTTGTGCTAGGTGTTAGGCCTTTAACTGAAGATGAGCATCTTTATCTTAGGTTATGCAAGTTAGGTAAGTTGCTCTTGTTATTTAAGTTAAGTTGGATACATGCTTAAAGGATTTGAATAGAGCTAATTACTTTCGGTGGCGAGGGTCCGATGATGTTTTCATGTAAACACCCATTGTGATTCATTCATCATGAGCATCATGTCATTCCTTATGCATTCATGATATTTATCTTGTGCATCGGCATGCAATAGGTGTACTGGGAAGGAGTAACCTATTGGAATTGAGGAACCGAAGCGAACGCAAAGCAATGACGACGCCGGAGATTCGGGAGGAGCGACCTTGAGGAGAAGTGCGAGGGCAGGTCGCCGTTGAGTGCCACGACCACCGTCCTTGCAACTTCGTGAAAAGGCAAGCCCGAACATATTAAGCCTCCTATTTTCCGAACTGCGATTCTGATATTATTATTACATATATTGTTGCATTAAGTTTAGGTGTTGGATGCAAACACTTGCTCGCATTGGTTACCCATTCCTTGTCCGGATATTGTTACCACGAATCCTATGTAGCTCGAGGCTCGAGTAGTGCTTAGCCACAACTTCAACGCGTAGAAGTCGGGTGATTTCCACATCACTGCGAGATATAGGAAGATACATGTGGCACGGTTGGCTATATTTGCTATCGTGGAAAAGAACCGATCTTAATTTGAAATGAAGACCGGACGGAGGCTTGTCGGTTTGCGATGACTCCGTCAGTCGCTAAAGGACCGATTCTTGGAGCCTTTCTGTTCATGTTGAACGCATGCCTCTCTCTTAGTTGGCCGTGTCCGATGACCGATCCATGGCCAGAGTAGCTCACCTCGGTAAAAGTCGATAAGTATAAAAGTGCGCCTCGGAAGGGAGCCGTGGCGTGAGTCAAGGCGGGTGATTTAAAAGTCTGATCGTCTGGCGGAAGGTAATCCACGAGAGTCTTGGGCGCTGATCGAACCATGCCAATTTGGTTCTGAGATGTTCCAAAGGTGACCCACGGCTACCCTTGCAAAGTATGCCGGTGAGAGAGTTAGGAATACCCCCTCGGTGAGTTGTAATTCGATTGAATCGCCGTCTCTCCCGGTTAGTGAGAACTTGACGGGCTTATCTCCAATGTAGATGCACTTAATAACTTAATGGTTCGGAAATGATGATATGATGTTGTGACCTTATTATACACTATGGTTAATATTGTTTGCTCCTAATAAGTGAGTGCTCTAATACAGTGCTAATCTAGTGGACGAATAAACGATGTTAAGCTTGATGCTAAGTTTAAATTGGTTACTATGCTCATAAGCTCTTTATGCAAATGTGTCAAGCTAGCCCACGAAAAGCCTTGCATGATCCTTGGTGTCTTTTATTTCGATTTTTGTCGGGTAAGTCTAGTGAGTACCTTCTCGTTTTCGGGGTTTATTTCCACATTGCGATGACCGGTTCTTCTTTGGTTCTTTTGCACGTCTTCTTGCTCTCCTGCTTTGGGGATGAAGACTAGACCGTTAGGCGCGGTCTCTACTAGTTCTCGTGCACGATAATGCTTTTGTGGGACATGACTACGATCGGCAATGTAATTGAAACTATGAAGTTATGTACTAAACTATGTTGCTTCCACACTCAAACTTGGTTTGTAAGATTTTATTTGAACTCGATGGATGTAATCCAGATGCTACTTGTGAAATGTTGTAACGAATGATGTGTTGTGTTGAATCATTACGATCTTGGTTTGTATGTCGAGAGTTGGTTGAAATCCTTCGTGATTTCCGGACTACTAGGATTATGGGAGCTTAAATACAGAAATTTGATCGCTTGGTGATTGTTTTTGTACTTACGTTCTTATGATTTGGTCGGTTACATTCTGCTAAGTCCACAAGCTGCTCCAAATAACCCACGAAAAGATGCTGGAGTAGCCAAGAGTGATAGCAAACTCGAGCAGTAGGTTGGTGCCAAGCAGCAGAAGGTGGGGAAACCCACCAAATCGTCTAAGAGTGCCCTTGGGGGTTCGGTATGGACACAGGCCAACCCCAAGTTCAAATTTGGAGAGCCATTCCTATCAGAAATAGAGCTTGAAATGGCAGGACCTAGGTGTGTTGCTCTTCATGCTTGGTACATGAAGGAATGTGAAGAGACCACTGAGTTTTTTGTTGTGGGATTAGAAGACTTGTTTGACCTTTTCAAACTTGATGGATTGGATGTAAGACTTCTTCGCGTGTTGACACTGTAAGTACAATTTCATCTATTTTTTGGGCTTGTTCATTTTTAGCTAGGGATGCTCTTTATATATTTTCTTGCTAAATTGCTTTTGTGTATGCTTCTTTATTCCTAGATGCCTGATTGTAGAAGCTAGGGTCAAAGATGTGTCTGCTGGCATTATTGATCTAGATCTAGTGTCAATAAAGACTATGAACACTGATAGAAGTTATAGCGTGGGGTATCTGGAATATTGCCTAAGGAAATATGCCAAGAAAAATTTTGTGATGTTTGCACATAACTGTGGTGGGCACTGGATTGCTGTCATCATTGTTCAAAAGTGGCAGAAGGTGATATATCTCGACTCCAATAGAGGTAGGAAGTCCGATTTATGTCCTATCACAACTGTGATAGATGAGTGAGTATTGTCTAACCTACTATTGACCTATGTATTTCTTTCTTAATTATGATATTAAAAGTCAAAAAAATTTGATAACAACTCATGTATGTGTACGGCTTTTGGCAATTGCCAACCCAGGCCGAAGAAAGGGCAGAAAAATTGCAGTTGACCCATGCAGCCAAAATTCTAGTAAGTAGTGCTTCACTTCTAGTTGTAAAGTCTTTTTGTCAATTGAATTATTAATCATGTGTTTCTTATGTTCGCGATTGCCGTTAGTAAGGTCCGGACCACACATGTGGGTTCTTTGTGGCCCCCACAACTTGATGATGGCGATGGCACGAGGCCAATTTAAATGATCCTCAGGTACAACTGCAAATATATATGTATTTATTAGTGCTCAGCTGCTGTGATCTTCTTGGAATGCCTTGATCCTCTCTTGTTGTCATATATACTGCTGCTGTCAATTTTTGAAGCTGCTGCTGTGGTCTGGAACAAGATGAAGCTGCTGCTATGATCTGCTGCTATGATCTGCTATGATCCTTTTGTAGACTATGGCTGGCTTATATATATTTACTAGTAATTTTTGGTACTGTTGCTGTCATATATATATTGTCATCTCTTATTGTGCAGCTTCATTTTATGGATGATGGCTATACACATGTGCAACTTCATCTTATCTTATGACTACCTTTCTCTATCTTAGGATTTTAAAGTGTAGTCCACTCCAATCAACTTTGAGGACATTAGAGAGAAACTCGCCTCATTTATTGTTTCACAGATCATCGACGAAAAAGGTGAGTTTCATTGTGCAGATACACCACCATGATGAAGTGCCTGCTATATATGTTCATTTGATCTGTCCTATAGCTAGCTGCTGCTGTGCCTAATCTGTAAACTGTGTTTGGAGCTGTGAGATACATGTGAATAACCTGGTGATGAACAATTTGTGAACTGTGTGATGAACAATGTGTGTACTGTGTGATGAACAAATTAAGTTTTGAGATGAACAGCTGTGATATTGTATATATATGTCATTTCTGTGAGATCTGCGTATATATATCTGTGATCTATGTATATCTATGTTGTGTGGGTTGTGCTGTGGGCTACAGAAGGGTCTAGGCTACAAATGCGTCGGTAGTATTTTCCTTACTACAGACACGTCTATAACCTAGACCCATCTGTGATAAGAAAAATACTACAGGCGCGTGTAGAGAATATGAGTCTGTAGTATGCTACATACTACAAACGTGTTTACAAATACCGTCTGTAGTAGGATCCTTACCACAGACGCGTGTACTGAACACACGTCGGCACTCACACAGATGTGTTTACAAATATCGTCTGTATTAGGATCCTTACTACAGACACGTATAACAGACACGCGTCTGCACTATGGTTCTACACACAGACATGTCTTAATCTTGTTATGGACGCGTGTTGGCAACATGCGTCTCCAGTAAGTGCTTACTGCAGACACGTGTAGATACTCACCGGTCTCTGTTAAGGACTTATCATAAACGCGTGTTTGTTTTGTCACAGTCGTGTATTGGTAACACGCATTTATAGTATTTTCTTATTACAGAGACGCTTTATGCGTGTCTGTAAAAAGCCTTATTATAGACCTGTTATGACATCTGTGATGTGCAGGAACACATGTCTGTGATGTGCTTTTTTTATACAGTGTGATGTAACATAACCTGTGGTGGTAATGGTACGTGTGTGTAATATATATAAGGGGGTTGTTTAAAGAGAAAGTAGGTGAACGATCGAATAGACGAATAGTGTAACAAAAGCATTTATTTTTTATGATAATTACCGATCGATTACTCCCTCCATATTTTTTTAGGCGCACCAACGTTTTTGGTTTTGGCCTGGGAGGCGCATTACGCAGCATTTACATAGATATTCTAATACGAAGCATCAGTTTGCATTGTATTGAAAACGAACCTTTGGGCGTGTGTGGCTGATCCGTTCGTAGACCTACAGCTGTATGCATGCTTGCATGCAATGGAAACAGTCCTAATGAATAGCAGCGCTGTGCCATGAACTGCCGCACCTGCACGCTAGCGCAGCATTCTCACTGGAGTGATGGTCGTGCACGCTCCATCATTGTTTCTTGGCATCTTTACTTGCTAACCTCGCGCTTAAGAAAAGGAAATGGAGGGGCGCACGTATTAACAATGAGAAGAGTTGGCTCGGTGGAGGTCAGTTTTCAGCTTCGTGCAGTTATCCACTTATCCTACCTGCATGTTCTCTCTGTTGCCTCGATAGGGGATGAAGTGGAAGCTGAAAAGTAACAGTCAGTTAATCAGAAAATGAAGAATCTAAGATTTAGATTACTTTGAGTGGAACGCTGTGGTGCAGCATTTACATAGAGATGACGTGGAATGCTGTTGTGCGAGATAAAATTTGTAGTTGGGTTTTCCTTTATAAGAGATATAGATTACCTCGAATTTGAACATTTCTGTTCCATTTGTGCGTCTTTAGACTTCAAGGCTGCATGACACGTCCGTCGTTAGTAGGTGCTAACATGTCTTAATCACCACCTCCGGTAGCCTTCACCATCGCTTTCGTCAATTTCCAACACTACGTGAAAAATGGTTTGTAGCAATGGGACAAATTTTTTTAGGAGTGGCTGGTGATGGAGCTACCCCTACAGTGACGTACTCGGGATCCACGAGAGCAGCCGCCCCTACAAATGAAACAGCAGGGGCGGCTGGTGATACGAGCCGCCCCTAAAAATGGGTAGGATTTGTAGGGGCGGCTCGTATCACCAGCCGCCCCCGGTGTTTCTATTTGTAGGGGAGGCTGGTGATTGAGCCGCCCCTACAAATGCCCCACGTACAGTTGCTAACTCAACCGTCCAAAATATCTACTGCCCTCCTCTCTCTCTCTCTCTCTCCGTCTCGACTCTCTCTCTCTCTCTCTCCCTCGCTCTCCCTCTCCTCCGAGCCCCTCCGTCTCTCCCCCACGCCGCCCCTCCCTCTCCCCCACGCGGTGACGGGACCTCCCTCTCCAGCGGAGGCGCACGGCGTCGCACCCCCCTCTTCTCCGCGCGGCGGCGCACCCTAGGGTGGCGGGGGTTCTGGGGCGCGGCCTCCCGACGGTCGCGTGGGGCTCGGTGCCCTCCTCCAGCGTCGGCAGTCGCGCGGGGGCCCGTCCCCCTCCTCCTGCGCCGACGGCGCGCGGGACCCTGTCCCCTCCCCCAGCGGAGGCACGGTGGCGGAGCTCAGTGCCATGGCTTGGTGGCACGACCTCCCGACGAGCTCCAGCGGTGGTGGGATTTGGTGGCGCGGTCCCCTTCACCTTCTCTCCTCCGGCGCGCTGCAGGAGGCCGCATGAAGCACATGGTGGCGGCCACCACCAGATCCGGCGAGGACCAGCCCAGCCGGCGAGGAGAAGCCTGATCCGACGAGGCAAGCAGTGCCTCACCGCGCAACCGTGGTCTCCTCTTCCGCTGCAGCGGTCGCAACCTTCACTGCCGTCCGGCGGCAGCGGCAGTGGCCTCGAGCCAGCGGCGCTAGGCGTCCTCGAAGGCATGGCGCGCACGCTCGGACTCTACGGCCTCCTGAATCTCGATTAGGCTGCGCTGCACCTCGGGGTCCGCCGTGGGTGCCGCCGCCTCGACCGCCGCATGTGCGCCGTGCGGGCCACGGCCTCCCTTTGCTCCCTCTGGCAGCGCTACTTCTTCTCCCGCCGCTTCTCCCTTGTCGGCGTCGCTGCAGCGTCCGGGGCACAATCAGGGTTGCCGCCACTGGCCACGTAGGTTATTAAGATTTGGTAATTTTTATTTAAGGATAAGGAATATCAGATCGATGGAAGTTTACTGCTGACCCAAATTGAATACCTACTTTCCACCCCTCCGCCCTCTCCTGTTTTGCAGTGACTGCGCGACGGCCATGGCGGCACAACGGACACCTCCTGTGATGCACGCACTGGCCAGGCCATCTTGCTCACGAACACGGTCATCCAGTGGTCTTTGTACGGCAACAACATTAGCATCATGGAGCCATGGTGGTGATGGTGTGCTTTTGCTAGCCCAATGGCGCAGCAGACCAGGACAATCAGGTTTGTTAGATTCGCACACACACACGGCCTGTTTGTTCAAATGCTCCAGTGCAAACATGGATATGTGTATAGCTGTGGAAGTAAGTGTATTTCATGCTATTAGGATTTAGGAGTAGTAGTATATGTATTGTCAGAAAAGCTAGGGGTTCTCCAATTAAGAGAAATCATGTTTTCAGTGTTGTGCTTGATTACCAGAGGATGTACTAGACTGACTTGTAGATATTCCTTTTAGGGATCAACTCTACATGCAGTATTGCATGGTGCTTTTCTTTGTAGCCTAGGTTGCTGCGTTTTTGTTTCTTCAGTGCAATTCTACATTGTTGTCACTGAGTTTGTGAATATCAATTCCTGTATGAAATGGTAGACACATGAACAAATATACATTATTTAATGCAAGTAAGAGGCAAGTGATAATATTCTGTCACTGAGTTTGTGAATATCAAATTTCTGTATGTAACTGATGAGCACCTATCAGTTGATAAATGTACTCATGTTTATTAACAGGTACAGGTAAGAGGCAAGTGATAATATACTTCTGCTTGCATAAGTGAACTAATAATGCTTAAATCCATTGCTCGGTAGAAACATATTGACTGATGTTTTGCTTGTCTTCCTCCAATCAGGAATCTCCCAATTTGATTGGTGTTCAGTCTTGCAATAGTTGAAGGGAAGATTCTAGGTAGTGTTTCATCTTTTGCTTGTATATCTCTTTCACTTCATCTGATATCTACTATGATCAAACAAGTGGTGAAAAATTGAAAAAATTTAATCTCTGTACTCTGGACTTGATGTGGTTAAACCTGAAACTCTTCCTACTCGTTCTTTCAGACTAGTTTCAGTACTGTCAGATTAGAACAGATGCTAGAATGTTTATTAGATCACTTCCTAAATGTGTCTGGAAGTCTCAATGTCATTGCTTTTGATCCAACTATGATAGAACACACAGTTCTAAATTTAGGATCACCATGTTACTGAGTTCTCGGTGTCCACCTTATTTAATGTATTGAATTTGAACACAGTTTTTAAATCAAATTGTTCAACCATTCTCCAGCTCTGCAAGCAGGGCCAGTTCCTTGAAGCTGGGAAGTTTCCAACAAAAAGTTACATGGATTCTTTTTTTTTCAAAGGAATATTGTGAAACTCATACATGATCTGTTGTGATCAATGATAACTAGTTATCCTTGCCACATACAATACATTTCTTACTAGTCTTGTCCAGATTATAGGCAAATACCGACCAGAGTTTTTCCTCATGGGGCATGTATGGCCCCATTATGAAAGTGAAAAACATCAGAAGCATAAGCCTTAATATTTGATGTCAATATCTCCCATGATTTGAATTGCATTTTTGGATGTACCTGAGTCACTAACAAATGAAACACATGGATCTATTAGGTTGGTTTGTAACTTCGTATCAAAACATATACTTTTTTTTGTTGCAAAAGAACACACATATTGGGATGAAAATTCCAATATCTTACAATGGAGGATAATCCAAACTATTTTCAGGTGCCTTCTGCAACTGCCTTCTACCAGAAAGCATGCGGCTTGAGTCAACTGAGACAAAGCATCTTGCAGACTGTCGTTTCTCAGGTAGATTCTGGTGTTCTCTATTTCCTATCATAACTGGTGGTTTCTCATGCTATTTATAACTGACAATATCATGCATATAGATCTCCTTGCTATCATTTTTCGTGTCTATACATTGTACTATTGTCCATTCTGGTGTGTTTATGCCCTATTGTTATCCAGTCTCATGTCATATTGCTGTCTGTGAATTTAGATGGTTCCAACACCACCAGCAACGATAACTTTGATGAAGATGACTTGGAAGACAAACACCTGCTTCCAACGTCTTCTGTTGGTGAAGACACAATTGTAAAAGAAGTTCACAGATGAATGTCTGATGAAGCCTTACAATGAGTTCTCTCTGTATTCTAAAACGCAATGGGTTTCAACACTCAATGTGCAGCTTGTCATTCATTATGTACATTGTCATTGTATTTTAAAAATGTAATGAGCTCTGTCTGTTCTGATCTGAAATTTTGTGTACATTTAGTGTGTAGTCCACATTTATGATTGAGTTCATTCCACCTGTACCACAGTCCACATGTAATTCGTACTGCCCTGATTAGATGTCTGTGATATGGCATTTTTGTTAAAATGTAAGTCAAAAGAGCTGGTGTGTGCCTCAACTTTTGGATAGTCAATGATCCATGCATTGATTTGGGGGAGCATGTGTTGGTAATTTGATTTTTTTGGTGGAAAAATGCACCGTAGGGGTAGTTGGTACTGTAGCCGTCTCTACAAATTGATTTGTAGGGTGGGTGATAACACTAGCCGCCTCTACAAATCGATTTGTAGGGACGGTCTGGGAACCGTCACTACAAATGCATGATTTGTAGAGACGGTATGGTAGGAGCGGCTGGCCGAACCGCCCCTACAAATGCCCATTAGCCGCCCTTGGAAATTATATCTGACGTAGTGCAAGCTCGTGCGTGAGTCCTACGCGTCACTCCCGCATGTATTTACAAAGTTTTGCAAAAATTTGCATTCCCGTGGTTGATACAGTTGCTTACAATGGACGCTCCCCACCGTGTCTTTCTCCTCACTGTTGTTGTTCCTCATCGCCGCTACTGCTCCCCAGTGCCAAACTACATGACTGCCCCTACTCAGCGGCGTGTAAGCCGCAGGTCACCGCTGACAAGCTAGTGCTCCGCGCCGGTACGCCTCACCGGCAGGGAGACAACACACATCCACTGGTGAACAGGCTGGTACTCATCACCATCGTCATTGCTCGAGCTGAATGCCGCAAGATCCAAAGGCAATGGTAATGCTTTCACACTTCCCTTATGCATTGTTCTTGGATTTTTATTTCCTTCTTCACTCATTTGTGGTCGCTCCTTCTCTGATTCAGGTGATAGCACCGCCGCTTCCATCGCCGGCCCTGCTCCACCAGAACCTCATCAAGATGGAGGAGGAGGCCCCCAACAAGAGGAACGAAGTGGCCATCTTCACAGACCATGTCTTGGTCCTCATCCTCTGCCGCCTCACAGCCTACGCCTTGTGCAACTGCAAGTGTGTCTTTCTGTTGGGGTTATGATACCCCGGGTATCTCAGGACACCGATTAGTTAGCCGCTCGGGCGGCCCATGGTACGCCAGCTAGTATGAGCCCAAACGATCGAGGCCCAGCTAAGCTACGCGGAAATGGGCCAAACACTAAGGTAGGGGTTGGCCATGACCTCTTCCCTCGGCCCTCACCATGCGCCGTATAGCTCCTCATGACCTTTCCTCTGTCCTAAACCCTAGGAGAAATGGGGAGAGATTGAGCCACGCCAAGCACGCCTGCTCTGACAAGAGCAGGCACGCTGCACTGCCCCTCAAGGACTAAGGGGAGACACCATCCCTGCGCCACGCAGCCTAGATAAGATAACACCGCCGAGCGGTGGTGGCCAGTACGGTGGCCCACCATCAAAATACGGCCCAACAAGATAGGTGTACGACTCCACCCACTATGGGATGGGGGCCACGATGGCGGCCTTGACTTTGGAGACCATCTAAGCCAATGAAGACCGTGACCCTGGAGCTTGGGATCGTGGCCACCGGCTCCACAAGCAGCAAGACGACCAATGACCTGGGGGCGGCTACCAACTCCTGTCTGACACCCTCGAGAGATCAGGAGGTGATGATGAAGGCCACGACGAGACCACATCGCATAGGACGGTTGGCGAAACATCCCCGTGCCCACAGTGCCACCACAACCGGCATAGTAGCACCACGCCACACCATGCCGCGACGTGGGCACAAGACCATGACAACAACCATGCCCAGAGGTGCACAATAAGATGGCGTTACTTGCAAGCCAGGTTAGCTAGGTTCCCTCCCTCAGGCTCACTACCCTTCAGTCGAGAGAACCTCCTTCTTTGTATGTGACCTGGCTCCGATTCTATATAAAGGGCAGCCTGGGCACCCTTCTAGGATCATCATCGGACTCTCGAAGCTCTCACTTGGGCAGTCTGTCTCCTAGCTCTAGCTCTCCTACCTTTTCCACCATTCTTGCACCTCCCATTATAAGAACTTCAGAGCATTCAAGTGAGGAACAATCACTCGATCATCTCTGAGACTAGACATAGGGCTCCAGCCTGAACCAGTATAACTCCTCGTGTCTTTTGGATGCTACCATCATCTTCCTAGAGCAGCGCGACATTTGTATAAATTCACTAGTCGGTCTAAACAACACGGACAGTTGGCACACTAGGTAGGGAATAGTCGTGCACTCTCTTTATTAAGAAGGAAGTGATGGCTCCCTACACCTATGTTGGACTTGCTCTTGGCATGGCCCCTAGAAGCCGCATCCGCTTCGGAAGCCTCGAGTTCTCCGACATCGATGGGCCAGCACCCGTTAACGGTCTTCTTCTTGGCCAAGCCCTGCACTTCAGGGATCTAGACTTCATAGTCGACCACCTAGGTC